AAGACACTCCTGACCTGTCATGTGACACTGACAACACCCTGCTGAAACTCACTTCTGCATAAAGTAAACATCTGCCTTGCTACAGTGAGATCACAGGAAAGAGCTAACATCACTTAGCATCAGCATGACTCACTACCTGCTGCTCACATATTCGACTGATGCAACTCTGTTCTTCGTCTCACCTTGGGGTCCTGGACAATGTTCCTCCAGCGATGGCAGACCTGGCTGGCAGTGCGGCAAAGGTCCTGGGCAGGGATGAGGCACAGTATTTGTCTCAGCACCTCCTCTGGAAGGTCATCCATGCAGCCCTGAGGTTGCTGCAAGACGTCGCTGCTGCCCAGGAGGCCATAATGGGCATCAGGAAGGGCCTCCACTTCGTCTTCTTCGTAGTGAGTGTCACTCTGCTCAAATTCGTCATCGTCCCCAAACATCTCCGCTGTCATTCCTTCCAGATAATCCTCCTCCTTTGGGTTAGGGTCTGACACCATTGAACCTGCTAACAGGCTGATATCGTCAATCTCCTCCTCATCCTCAGGCTCCGGCATCACCACAGCAGCGAACAGACTGTCGTCATCAATCTCTTCCTCGTTCTTTAACTTAGACTCTGGTGCCAGTGGGACAGCTAAGAGACTGACATCATCATCCTCGTCTTCTTCTTCTTCTTCTTTAACCACACTTGGCCCTTCATTGGGAGATGTGGAGGTGCAGGGCTGGGAGGATTTGCGTGGACTGGAACTGAGGACTCCTTTCACAGAGAAGAAGTGGCTGATGCCCTTCTGTTTCCCAAAAGGACTTGTTGAGGCTGGTGCTGCAGGATTGAGAGATAAAGATTCAGAGTCTAACAGACATTTTTGACTTTCGGTAAAGAGCAAAAAGTGGACTAGTTAGGACTTTGACTAAACAAAATATCCACATATTTTCTTGCGTAGATGCCACCGTATTCTGTGTTGCTTTATCAAATTTGTCAAGACATTTGCAGAAGAAGGTCAGCGACTATTACCCCGCTTCCATCGTTTGGTGGGTGTTCTGGGGTACAGCCCCCGATTTGGGTCACGGTTGCCTCGGCCCTGGTTAGAGGTGTGGGGTCGGGTGAGGACGTCTGTGGCTCCTGCACTGTGTCCCAGTTCGTCACACTCCTCTACATTTAGGTGCCTCCTTTTGGCCTTTCCTAAGAAATCACACATTTGCCAAGTTAGTACAATACAACTGACCATGATGGGAATATGCAATGCAAGCTTTTTTTTTTTTTTTTTTAGTTATTATTCAGTCTACTGTTGGATGTTAACAAGACAGACCTTCTTTCTGGTGTCAAACCAGTCCAGCTCTTGGCTTAGTCATTGGGTTTCCCTTTATCTTACTCAACAAGGGTTATTTTTACCTCCAGTAATTTAAAAAACTGTCAAATCTATCAACTTCCAATGTAGTAATTGTGAACATAAATAGAGAAAAGTGCTGTTATAACATAAATAAACAAAATATACATTTTTATTCATTTGTTGATAAAATGTCAAAAGCTATTAGTTCATCAGCGTTTCCCAAAGCACCAGATGGTGTCCATGAATGTCCTGATTCTCTCCTCAACCCAAACATTTACAGTTTATTGCCATAAATGAAATGAATGAATGAATTAATGAATGAATGAAAAATACTTTATTTATCCCAGAAGGTAAATTCAATAAGAAGAATAAAGAAGTAAACAAACCACAAATATTCACCTTTTAAAAGGCTCAAAGTTAGACTGCTCTTAGTTAGTGTAATGACATGACCAGAGCTAAGAAGGACAGCACCGAAACAAAACAAGCTATGTCGTTATTTACGTACAAACAAAGTGCATTTAGTTTATTTCTTGTTATAACTATTAACTTACCTTTAACAGCCACCTCCATGTTCGTGCCCGGTGCATACGTCCTTTATTGGCTAATATACATAACCTTAACGTGAAGAAATCAGAGTTTAGTCTGTTGAGGCAAACTTAAGGTTTAAGTACACATAAAGTCTTTCGCCGAATTATTGAGAAGTGAAGCGGTTAGCATCACAGTTAGCAAAACAAACACAGCAGCTCGCTAATAACATTAAAGTTATCACTTCCTGAAGTCTGCCAAGAATAACCTTAACAAAAAAAACTCTATAATGTACCAACAGCATTCATGTCAATGGAGCAACTTCACCATAATAACGTATTTGCCTCATTTGAAGACATAAAAACCTGCATGTTTTCTTCGCAGCGGCGCTTCGAGCTCTGAAGTTTGTGTTGGTGAAGCTGCCTCGTGATTGGTTGGATTCTTCTTCTTCGTCTTCGGCTTCTCCTGCTTCTTCTTCTTCTACTATTTTGGCGGTTGGCAGCCAACGTTTAGGTGCATTAGCGTCACCTACAGGACTGGAGTGTGGAGCAAGATTGGCACAGAGAGAAAAAAAACTAAATTCTAATTAGAAGTTCTGTGTTTTTAAAATATTAAATTAGATCACTTGATATTCCTTTACCTGTTCTCTCATTGAGGTTCTACACTGTTAGGTCTTATTTGATTTTTTTCATGTTTGAGTTTCTTCTTGTTCTTGTTCTTGTTCTTGTTCTTCTTCTCATATTTGGTGTTTTGTCCATTGCGGGTGTACAGTGAAAAAAACAAAACTCATCCTCTCGATCAAACCAGTTTGATGGAATATAATTTGATAGCGCTCACCTCTTGAGTTGTTTCGTAGAATATGTACAAGTCAAATTTGTCCTTGTATTTTTGGCAGTTTTTACCATCACAGCTTGTTTACTGCCACGCAAAAGCACATGAGACGAGAGCTCTTATACAGTGTAATGTGCTAAAATCTGAAACAGCTGCTGAAGTTTTCTAAATCATTGATGAAGCTCATAAGACAATTAATATGTAAATTACATAGGACAAGTACATGTCTGACACTGTTCAGTTTGTGGCACTTGTTTCCAGACCTTTTTAAGGTAGGTTTAATTTCTGGGGTCTCTCGGAGTCTGTACAAGAGTTTTAGCTAAATCCACAGCTCAACCTAAGTCGTAGACACTTTAACCAATGAAGACATTTACAGATTATTCTTTTACATATAAAAAGCAGATGTCTTTTTGCAATATGCATACACTTTTCTGTTGGAATAATACAAAATCTATGAGGGTTACTATTGCTTATATATGCTTCAACCAAACACAGACACACACACACCCACAAGTCTCCATTTTGCTCAACGCTAAATTCTTCTGATCAGCAGAGTTTCTTTCCCATCATGGATTTTTGCATCTGTGAACATAGAGCTGATGTGCTTTGCCAAAAAGTTCCAGTTTTGTCTCGTCTGTCCAGAGGACATTCTCTCAGAAGCTTTGTGGCTGGTCAACATGCAGTTTGGCTAATTCCAGTCTGGCTTTTTTATGATTTGTTTTCAACGATGTCCTCCTTGGTCGTCTCCGATGAAGTTCACTTTGGCTCAAACAACGACGGATGGTGTGATCAGACACTGATGTACCTTGACCTTGGAGTTCACCTTTAATGTCTTTAGAGGTTGTTCTGGGCTCTTTTGTTACCATTCATATTATCCGTCTCTTCGATTTGTCATCAATTTTCCTCCTGTGGCCACGTCCAGGGAGGTTGGCTACAGTCTCATAGATCTTACATTTCTGAATAATATGTGCAGCTGTAGTCACATTAACATCAAGCTGCTTGGAGATGGTCTTATAGCCTTTACCTTTAACAGGCTTGTCTATAATTTTCTTTCTAATCTCCTGAGACAACTCTCACCTTGGCTTCCTCTGGTCCATGTTTAGTGTGGTACACACCATGTCACCAAACAGCACAGTGACGACTTGTAACCCTATAAATAGGCCAACTGACTGACTACAAGTTTGTAGACACCTGTGATGCTAATTAGAGGACACACCTTGATTGAACATGTCTCTATGGTCACATTATTTTCAGTCTTTTCTTGGGGTACCATCATTTTTGTCCAGGCCTGTTTCATGAATTTATTTATTTAAATAATTCTGTTGAACCACAGTTTAAAATCAATGTCTGATTTTCATTGGCTAATTTTCATAGATTTGTTATTTACTATTACTTTTGTCAGATTCAAGTTATTTCTGTGACCGTTGTGGGTTTTTTCTTTCATTAACCGAGGGCTACCGACCATTTTGTCCATGTGTGTAACTGTTCTGTCTATTAGAATGCTGTGATCCTGTGCTCCTCCTGCATGGACCTGCATTTTCCCCAGAATGAATAAATCAATTGATATTGAGTGCAACAGTCAAGGTGAAATGACTGTAAAAAGTAATGTGATATTATCTTTTTAATACTGTATGTACAATATTTATTCCAAAGGTGCTCCCAGGTACATATAATACTGTGGAAAAACAGGGGCTCCACATGTTAGAGAGACTATTTGATCAAGTCGATTTACTTTTTCACAACGTCTAGAAACTTTTCTATGACTGCACACTAACTCTAGAAAGATGTTTCACCATGCTGGATGTATCTTCCAACAACTTGCTACCACTTTTGGACCATGCTTCATTCATTTTATTGATCATATATGTTTGATTTTCTTCTCAATCTCTCTTGTTGACTCCTCTCTGCTCTGTGTAAACACTGCCTGGAGTTCATCCAAAGTCACCCAATGTTTATCATGTAACTGTCGGTTGCAGTCCAGCCGACGATCACCTAACTTCATATTTATTGTTGTTACAGAGTCTACTGCAAACAGTATATATTTTGGGTGAATTTTTAAGTGATTTTGATGAAATATCGCAATTTTAAGCTGAGATTTGGTTATTTTTACTGCCGGAACCACACGCCTGACATGTTCAAGGACCATCGGAAAGTTGAAAATCCAAAGATTGTATTCCTTGTTTTGATAAAATTTGGTGATTTGTTAAAAAAACAAAGCAGGTCTTTCAAAAGGACTCAGATTTAATCTGCCTAAATCCTACATAATGCTGCGAGAACTTTCCCTCATGTCATACACAATCCTTTGTTTTGTTGGTTATCTTCACACCAAAAGGCTACAAACCTAACAGACAGGTTCTTCCTCTATTTCCTGGCTTCTTTCCTGCCCTCACTTGTTGCTGACAAGTCGTTGTAGGACAGAAGCACATAATCCAGTATGAGCAAATGTAGAACCACATTTATTCATTGGTCAGTAATTTCTAGTTGCTAGGGAAAGTACAGCATCAGTGTCCACCACAACGAGGTTCAAGGCACGGCAGTGACTGTGTTCAATCAGTCCAGCACCTCTGCTGAACACTACAGTGGAATTAAAAGAGTTAAATCCTCTCATAGTGTTAGGACGGTTAATACAACAATCAGTTACGCAACCGTTATCACAAGTTCAGGGTTATTCTGTTACACGTGGCTGGTTGCCAAAGTTAGTAAACGCATTCCTCCATTCCCCGGAATGTCTTTAGATAAAATCTGGAGGCAGAGATGAGAGCCTGAATGATTCAGCTTTGGGTTTCGGTGGAGTGAGAAACAGCATGGACACAGTTTGCACCAGATAAGTGGGTTAAAGTGGGGTTTTCAGAACACACTGTTAGCAGATGTTAGGGAATGTTTTACAATCACTAAATAAAAATGACAACAAACTGCATCTTGTAAAACTATTTGGAATCTCATTTAAGAAAAAAAAAAACTCAAAATGACTACTGGTCAATCTAGGACTAAAGCCTGAAACATATTCTGTGTTAAGTGTGCAAACAATTGTGGATTGTCCACCAGAGTATGTTTCAGGCCTCGAGGTGTACGGTAGCATCTCCATACTGAGAGCAAAACGTGGTCCAGTGCGTGCAGGGTAAACAGGGCTCCTTCATAGGCTCGACTTCGAGAACCAACGCTCTGTCGAGACTTTGATTTCAAGATTTTCGTGTCTAACACAAAGCTGTGTTGTGTCTTCTGATTGCAATATTGGAAACTGCATAGAAACAAATAATAAAACATGAGATCACTTCGGGTCTAAAACCACAATTTCCTATGACAGTTTGACAATTTTCTTTCCAATACACGCCTAAATTCTCCACTCCTGTGTCGGAGCCCTGTGCAACGTAAGACACTGTTTCTTTCTCTCGTGCTCATCCTGAACTACTTCCTGCTTCACTGCTTCAGGACAGGCAGCTCCCTCGGCTTAAAGAAGGCCTGGACCATCCCCATGGCAAAGATGTAAACTTTGGCGTCCACCACGATTTTTTCTTTGCGCAGCAGATCTGTGGGATTAACCAAGCCAAGTGTGAGCTCACTGTCGCATTGAATGATCTTAACTGTGTGAGAAAGCTGAAGCCTCACCGTCTATTTTCGTCTGGAACTCATCAAGCGGTAAAAGAATGACTTCGACAAATTCTGGAAAGAGGAGATGAAAGCCCCTGTTGATGATCTGCATTCTGAGTAAAGATTATTTCTGAACATGGAAGAGACGTAACTCACCTCCTTCACCTGTGGAAAAACAAAAAAAGAACAAGGTTAGTCTTCAGGTTTTTGCATGACCAATAAATGTGTTCTCAATATCCAGCACAGTGAAGCAGGTACAGATTGTTGGCAACGTTACGAGGACATTTTCCCATCCAACGCTGCTTTTGCCCTTGTTTTTTGTGAGGTTTGCTCATATGACCATCTTAAGTCACATTTCCCACGCCTGGAACAATAAAGTTAATCTTGAATCTTGAAGTGACACTCAGAACTGTCCTGACCCTGGTTCTCTAAACATAAATGGTCTATTTCGGATCTGGACTGTAGCTCACCTGGTCTGTACCAAGGCTGAGTCTTTACCACAGCAGTCCATGTTCATCAGCTACACGTCGTTCCCTCTCTGTCTCTCTTCACCTGTTCCCATCTCATAAAGGCCAAAAAAAGCTCCAAAAATTGTTTAAAAAATAAAAAAAACAAACTAAATCCTTCATGTGGTCTACAAACTATTGAAAAAGTAGAGAATGAATCGACTAAATTTCCCCAGAGTCAAAGGCAGAATCTAGAATGTCCTCGTGCTGAACCAAGAGACTAAAATTCAAAAGATATTTAATTTCCTGTTACAGACAATGACGAAATAAACAGCAAATACACATTTGAGAGGCTGGAACATGCACTTTTTGGACATTTCTTGCTGTTTTTTGCTCAAAGAAATGTAAAAACTAGAATGACTGCCTTGCATTTCTGAAACATTCTCTTATAATCAAAACCCAGCAGTCCAGTGTTGCGGTGCTTGACATCTTCGCCTCACAGCAAGAAGCTTCTGAGTGTTACCGTCTCTCTCCCTGTGCATGCCGGGGTTTTCTTCAGGTGCTGCGACTACGTGTGAGCGTGTGGTTGTGTCTCTTTGAGTGAACACTGTGACTGACTGGGTGAGTCTACAAACGAATGAAGACGTGACTGAACTGTGTCCTCTCACCCAGCTGCTGTGTCGGGTTGATGTTCTCCATGTCGTCTCCATTGATGTTGACCAGGATGATCTGGTTGGTGCAGTTAGACAGACCAGGGTCCAGACAGGTCACTGCAATCACAGCAACAAACACACTCTCAGACTATCACATGCATTGTACTTTCTCAGGATCAAAATAAGCACAAACCCTCTTTTGACTTGACGCCGCTGCCCCCTGAACCTACACATACAGGAGATAAGATACGAGCGGCTAATGCAGTCAGTGGAGTGCTGATACCTGGAGTGACTCCGACTACCTCCCCCTTGTAGCCCGTTTCTTCCTTCAGCTCCCTCAGGGCGGCCACCTCCGCGGTCTCGCCTTCGTCAATCAATCCTAAACACGGGATATTTCTTTTCAGGGTGTGTTTCAGTGAAATTCTGAATCCGTCATCCTTGAAACCATCTCCACAGAACTTCCAGGGGAAATGCAGGTAAGAGAGCTGCAGCACAAACACACTTCATGAGTAGATAAAGCTTCTGACCTGCAGGAAACTCCAGAGTGCAGCATCCCATAGGAGGACGGAACTGCTTCACCATCACCACGCAGTCTTTGTGGAGCGTCCGCTTCAGCAGAGCGATGATTCCCACACCTGAAGGGAAACTGTGTTACACCTTCAACAGCTCTGCTAGAGGCTGAAAAAAACACAACAGACAAGCTCACCATCTGCCTCCGTGTTGGTCCGTCTGGTCGTCCTTTTCACCGTCTCCCAGGTTCTAGTGGATGGAAACAGGGATTGAGAGACGGACAATCGCTCGATTTTCAAAGTAGAGATGGAGGAAAGATGGAGGAGTACCTGGTGTTTCCAGCAGGATCAACGTATGTCGTCTTCTCCAGCTGCACCCATTTCCCTGCTGCCATGAGCTGGAGCACAGAACACAACGTAAATACAATGAACTGATCAGTAGAGGAACGAAAACTGTCAGATCAATGGCATGAAGAACAACAACTGCAACTCGAGCCTCGTTACAACACACTAAAGAAAGATCAGATACAATAATATAACGGGAGAATCAAAACAAAGAAAATCTAATCTGAGTTCATTTGTGTAACTAAAATCTATAAAGTTAAAAATGAGCACACAGCCACGAGCAGAAAAGTGTGAGCTTCAAGAAAAGTCCATCAGACTCATCGAAGAGATCAGCTTGGAAATTAGACTGATATATGATAAAAATCAGACCATTTTTTAGGTTATTGCTGAAATGTTGATACACATGATGCTAATATTTAGGAAAACTGCTGTTAATCCACAAAGTTATTGCCTGTGTTTTGACTAAAAGAGATGACATCACCCCTACTTGCATTACAGCACAAACGACCTGTTTCTTTTAGAACTACTTACGTTAATAAAGCAAAAAATAACATTCCCATAATCAGCAACTGCCTTTACAACAAAAACTGTTCTCTTTATAGCCTTTCATATAGAAGCTCCTCACGTTTGCCACAACAGATCTGCTGAGGCAGCTTTCTGTTTGTATGGGATGTGAATCACAGCATCCATCCATC